TATACTGTATTTTTGGTATTAATTTACGCTATATACGCGGCCAGTAATTTTGCGCGGAAATTTGTCCAAGTTTATTTAATATGCAAGGCATGCAGTGACAGTCTGTGAAACCCGCTTTCTTTGAACCCGCAGATTGAACAGAAATTGAGATTGAAATTGAAAGCCTATTAGTGCCAACTTGTATATATAAAAGAAAAGCAATGTATAAAATCAAACTTCAATATATAAAGGAAATGCAAATTCTATAAAGAGAACCTCGATATATATAAAGAATATGCGATATATATGTAAACAAAACATCAATATATATAAAGGAAATGTAAAATCTATATACAGAACCTCGTTATATTGATTGATTGTATACTGTTTAACGTCCCTTCCAAAATCATTGTAAAGCGTCTTTTGCTTCTTCCGGCGCCGAACATTATTTATTGAACAGGAATATAAAGAATAAAATATGTAAACTATATAAATAAAGGAAATGTAAAATCTATATACAGAACCTCGAATATATATATGGAGACGTCACCATTGCCAGGGAAGGGCTGCAAATATATATATTGAGCAGGGAGGAACACCTGCTGTGAACGGGGCCTCTATATATCAAGGACCGCCCCATTTAGTTATATATACAAGCAAGGGGTACTGAGTGTGATACACATTATATATAAAGAGAAATGCAATATACATATATAAAAACAGAATTTGGATAAATATAAGGAGAAATGCAAAATATATCAGAAGAAAATTTCCACTGCATGAACGGCTCAGCTGCCCATTAAGATTATAAACAGATTACATTAATCCCTGTAAGGAGGTGATCTAAGAGAGCAATCTTGTATACCGCTCTGCGCTCCAAGAATCCGGAAAATTGTGGTCTGATCAAGGAACTTCTATTTAAACTATTTAAGCTATTTAAGCTCAGTTGGTAGAGCGCTAGCTCCGTGTTCGGGAGGTCGTGAGTTCGTATCTCGGCTGCGACTGACCTAAGTTCCAGGAAGAAGAAGAAGAAAAATAATAATAATAAGAAACAGAGTAAAAACAATATGTTCCCCAGTCGATAAAAAAAATGGGTAGCAACTGTTTCTTCGCTATGCGCTCGGCACATTGAAGTGAAAGTTGCGGGTCCTCCAGATGAGACCTTAAAAACCGAGGCTCCATGTCAGCGGCAGGCGTTGGCACGATAAAGATCCCTCACTGCTCAATGGCCCGATGGCCACTCAATGAGTGCCGAGTGAAGGTCAAAATTTGATGCCCCTCACCGGCATACGGTGACGTCTCCATATGAGTGAAAAATTCTCGATAGGGACGTTAAACAATACACAATCAATCAGTCTATTTAAAGTTTATTATTTTTTACTAAGTATTGCGCACTTAATTGAGTAGATGAACATTTAATTAATAATTCATAAAATAAAGTATATCATTCTTTCTATGTATCTATTGGTTTACTCTGTATTTTAGATCAACTTTATTTTCACAATCTACCTTGTTTAATATTTTACAAAAAAACTAACCGTATTATACCTTTAATTCTTTAATTGGTCATCAGCTGAGTATTTAATGAAAATAATGTTTAACGTTAATTTCTAACAAGTTTATTTTTCCTTTGCCTACAAATTAATTTAAATGAATTATATAAGTTTAAAATACTTGAATGCCGATTAGTAAAAATAGAATATCGGAAGGGGAGAGATGAAGGTACAATTTTTTAATGTGCGGGAGGAACAGATTTTGAGAGAAGGTGAATGCACCTTTTATAATTTAAGGGTTTTTGGTATAAACAAATGATGTATTCGGAAATGAATAAAATGAAACGAGTAATAGTGAACACTTGCATAATTTTAGTGCAGATTATTGTTCCATGTTGTCAACATAACGAACAAAATGATCGAAAACCCCTGTCAAATATTTATATTGTCAGTTTTAAATTTTCCATTATATCCTTCATATTTATATCATTGAGAGCTGCTTTTTCAATAAAAATGGAACTCATAAACTTACTTACCTGATCATTTGTTATTTGAAAAATTATTTTGAAAACACATTCTGATTGCACATACAAGTACTCTAAAGTTGACATCAGAAAGATGCTTGAGTTTCTGATTGACAATATCTATGTGGTATTTGGGGACTAGGTCTCACAACAATTTATTGGAATTCCCATGGGTATCAATTGCGCTCCCTAACTACCAGACCTATTTTTGCAAAATCAAGCAGATATTGTTTTAAATCTTATGCGTGAAAAGAAGAAAACATTTGCTGTGGCCTTCAACTCGACATCTAGATATATCGACGACGTATTGTCAATTTACAATGGTCATTTCCATTCGTACATCGATACGATATATCCTGGAGAGCTTTAGATAAAAAATACCACAGAGTCTGACATTTTTGCTTTATGCTTGGATATTTTATTTAAAAAGACGTTAATGGTAACCTAACAACCAAGCTATATGATAAACGTGATGACTTTAACTTTTCTATCGTCAACTTCCCTTACTTATGCAGCAATATACCTTCATCACCTGCATACGGAGTGTATATATCTCAGTAGAATCGATACCAAGAGCATGCTCTAGGTATGAACAATTTCTAAAACGTGGTAAATTATTGACAAGCAAATTGATGAAACAAGAATATCAGCATTCTCTTTAAAGTCGTAAGTTCTATGGTCGATACAATGACCTATTCAGCAAATACAATTTATCATTAAGTCAAATGCTGACGGACGTTTTTCATACTAATTGTTAGTCCTTTATTTATACATTGAATTTACGACGGATTATTCCGTTTTTTATCGATCATAAAGAGGAGCACACGGCGGATGTAACCTGTCCGCAGGGGATGCTCACTCCTCCATGGCACCCGATCCCACCTCTGATGTTTCAGGGGTCTGTGTTTGCTCTGCTCCTTTTTTGTGTTGTTTTATGGACCTTGATATTGATTACTGTTCGTTATCTCAATATCCCTCCATGCAATAATTTAATATTCAAATTAAAAAGTTATCATACTTATAAAACGTGAAAATACAGACATGCATTTTTGCACTGCATTATATTTCAATTGAAAATTCCTCACTCTTTTTAACATGAAATAAACTTATCGAGGAAAAGTCTTGATTTTATTCTGCCCCACACGTTTGAAATGTAAACAATAGCATTTTTATTTATAAATGTAGGCTTAAATCATCTCAATATTTACAATGAAAACCATCCCGAAGCTGAATCACATCTACAGTTTTCACACAAACAGTATAGCTTAAGGTGCTCAGGGAGCCGCTTTTCAGATGTAAACAAATCCCTGATGTAATGAAGGTCATTGAAGAATATGCAGTGAAAAATGTTCTCTTAACACTGTATATATCTCGCACTTTTCTTTATATATATCAAAGTTTTGTTTAGATATAGAATAGTTTTCTTTAGTTATATATCGAGGTTCTGTTTATATATTTTGCATTTCCTTTATATATATCCAAATTTAGTTTATATATTTCGCATTTGCTTTACATATTGAGATTTGCTTTGATGCATTTCCTTAATTTCCTATATATATACAAGTTGTCACAAATGTGCATCTGTAAAAATGCCCGGAATAATAATTTAATTTAGGTTTTTATAAAAAGGATAATCTGTTTTTATGACACCTGACTCACTCAATTCTATTTTTTGTCTGTCGTCGTCGTGCTTTTTATGTCGGTCATTATTTTGAACATTTTAAAACTCTTCTCATTAACAAGCCATGAGTAAAGGGGGAAAAACATAAATGTAATTTTGATTGGCTTTGCCATCTTGAAGCCTGGAGAATGAGGCAAAACCATCAACGCAGATATGTTAAGGATACGACCAAAAACATATTATACTTGCCTATACAATATGACGTAATTGTAAGCTTTATGAAGTGAAATTTAGAGATGATGATTTTTTACATGTATATTAAAAAAAAAATACGATTTGAGGAAGTAAAAAATAATTGAAACCTGCAAAAGCTAAATATATACAAAATCTTGTTTCTGACTAGTATAGATAGCTATCTACGTATTTGTTACGGGGTTTAAATACCAAAACATGACGTCATAGATATTGATCAGCTTAGAAGGGTGAACGTGAAACGTAAGGAGAATTCTTGTAAACACATACAAGAAATGGGAGTTTAAAAAGCATTTAGAAGGAATATCATGTGTATTTCATGCGAAATAAACCTTATGAATAAGGGATGCTTATATATTCTACGATTTCTTCGTAAAATGAAAGCAAATTGTAGTTTTATTTCCTGAATAGCCTTTCCTCTGTCGTTTTGATGATTTTTTTTTTCTTATGTACAAAATGTAAAAAAAAAACCAATTGGTAAGGTTTCATTCAAAAGTGTTGAATAGCTTTTTCTGTGATAGGATGTAGTATGATTCTAGCAGCACTTTTCTTGGTACAGAGATTATTTTGCATATCATTATAACAAATCAAAATTAATTTCCCTGGCGTAGTTTTGAACTGTTTACTTTTCATTAGGGCAATTTTTTTCTGTTTATACATGATGCCGTTGTGGCAGAGTACTTCTTGTAGTATAAGTCCCATTGAAATCCATAGAATACTGAATGATAACAAAAGTTTTGTCTATTACTTTTACATCACTGTTACATAGTACAAAAAAGTGTAAATTAGAAATGTGTGCTGCATTAATATACCGAAATATTAATTATATATTTCCTTTTTTCCTCCAAGATATCAAGTACTCTTAGCGTACAAGAACTCTTGGGGTGGGTGTAATGGTTATAGAAATTTAACAGTTATATATGCTTAAAGACTTATCAAATCTTTCAAAAAGAAACAATCTGACAACATATAATTTACATAGTTAAACTTATGACATGCTCAGAAATAAGCTGTGCATAAAATAGAAATTGTATCTAATAATCATAATAATAATTGCTAGTAATCTTTTATTGTGATACTAAAATTCTGTTTCTTTTTGTTTATCGATATATATTTAGGCAAAGAAAAAAAACATAAGAAAAGTTACGTAAAGTAAAAGATAATACAATAACATATGGACATTGAAACATTACTGATTTCGAAAGACCGGAAATGGCATCGTCACTTATTTTTGCACAGGACGTCATTCGATGTTCTCTCTGTGTTAATGCGGTCGACTATTACTGTAAAACATGTGATAATAAACTATGCAGCGAATGCAAATCTAAACATTTATCGGACAAAGGAAAATTACACGAAGTTGTAGCGTTCAATAGCGATAAAAGCGAAATAAAAAGGATTGGATGTTTTTCTCACAAGCGGAACAATTGTGAATTTTTTTGCAGAAATTGTAAAATCCCGGTCTGCTTACATTGTGTGGTTGGAAATCACAGGCAACACGATTTTACAGAACTTGACGATTTTCTAGAGGAAAAGAGGCAGGGTATTCTAGAAGATATAGAAGAAATCGAAACTTTGCTTCTACCAAAAATCCAACATCAGCAATATATCATCCATGAAGAAAAAAGTAAGAACACGATTGAAGTCATTTCAACTCAGGAAGATATCATTTGTAAAGCTGTTCGAGATTTTGGGAACAAACTTAGAGAAAAAGTAAAACAACACAAAGCGGAAATTCAAGAAAAGGAGAATAAAAATGCATCCGCTGAACAAAACACCCTTAAAGTTCTTCATAAAGCAAAATCATTGCTAGAAAGCAGAGAGATTAAAGACGTCCTAGAATACAGTGGGATAATACCAGAGTTGAGGAATGTTCAACCATTAGATAATTGTCAGCCTATTCTTGATGTTAAAAGATTTACAGAAAAGGACATAGGTTCATTATTTGGAACTCTGGTGATCAAGAAGGTTTCTGAAGAAACTGAGGTATATTTCACATGAGAACTTTATGTATTGTGAGAAAAGTTTTCTCATTATTATGTTATTGAGTTATTAAATGTTTTGAACCGACTTTATATTGGTCAATAAACACATCTTTTGTGTTCATTTTGAAGAAATGACATTAAGAATAATCTAGTTTAGTTATCAATATGACTCACAAAAAAACATTTCTTCGATAGAATGAAAACTGTGATCTTGGAAGAAAATTGGAAGGAGAGTCATGGTTTCATGGATTTATTCCCCAGGAAGAAGCAGACCGACTTTTGAAACAAAACGGTGATTTCTTGGTTCGAGTGTCAAAAAGAAAATCAGGGGAAGAATGCAGTTATATAATTTCTGCTTTTCAAGAAAGACCAGTGCATATCAAGATCTTCCGCAGAGGTGTTTATGTAAGAATTCATTTAATATATCACATTTAATATGTAACTAGTACATCAATCCGTCATATGCAACCCTATTTTATGCCTAATTAAGAATGGCAATTTAAGCACAAGGGAAGCATTCAACAGTTTTAAAATCTTCTTCTCACGAACCACAGGAGAGATTATACTGATGTACAGAATGTAAAAGCTACCTAGGGATCACAGCTGTCCGAAAGCAAAATATGCATTAAAATATATATTTTATTTGAAACTTAATTTTTATTTCAAATTGAAATCAATTATTCATCGCAATGTAAGACTGTAACGGACCTAGGGATTATCCCTCTCTAAAGTGTGGGACCAGTAAAAGCGGTCACAATTTAACATACAAGTATAATCATATTGGAAAAAAATTAATGCAAAACAGGTCAAAGTTTAACGGGTTAAAGTTACTTAGGCTTGCGTTGTAGCCCATAGGCATATTTTTGAAATTTCCTTTTGGTCTTAATGATATATTTACACTTAACATGGGCAGCATTTACGATATTTTAAGACTAATTCTTTAACAATGTTTGAATTAGATAATATTGAGAGCTGTAGTCAAAACATTTTAGGAGAAAATCGGACAAAAGGGCACAGTTGTAGACTTTGTGAACCACTTGAAGACAACGGGAGAAACATGTTCATCAACAGTGCCAGTATTTTTGGTAAACCCAATTGCTCGGGAAAGAAATCACCTCAAATACGATGAAATTCTTCTCGACTCAACGTGTGAGATTGTAAGAATTTTTTTTCTAAATTATTTTTTGAACAATTATTTCACATTGTTTCGCTTTTAGTTAAATAATTGCCAATATTTTTCCATAGATCTGTAACTTTTACATTTTTTTCTAAAAATTCTTTGGCAATCAGATTATAAACTAAGATATCAGGTATGTTAAACGTAAGAAAAAGATGACATGGTCATCATAAATATGCACACACGTGCGCGCGTTTGCAATGGATGAAATGACCAACTAATAAACGTAAGGTAGACATAACATTATATTTGAGTGAAATGATTTTGTATTCAGATTAAGATATAATAAAAGTCTGCAAAACAAGAACGATCGTCATGCAAATTGCCTGTCTGTGCAATTAAGGAATACTTGATATACTTGATATATGAGTATAGGCGTAGATTGTGAATCTGGAAATTCTAGACGTCACATGCATGTACATGAATTAAAATCTAACCAGTTAATTCTTGTTTTCTAAATGTGCATTATATCATCCCTTAAATACCTCGAACAAGTAAAATTCCAGAAAGCATTTTGGGAACATCTGCTACCAATAGAACTATAGTTAATCTGTTAAAAGCAAAGGTTATCATCAATTAAATGAATAGGCTTTGATAAACCCCTATCTGTACGTGCTGCAAAATCCTGGAAGGAGTATCTTCTCGATAAATTCAGTTTTATATCAAACAATAATAATAAGAAAGTAAGCTCTTATTCTATTCAATGTAAGAATTTTTTTCTTTTTCAGAATCTACATAAATTCCCATCTTTTTTCTATGGATTACATAATTCGAAGAAAGTTTTTATACAGAAAGAAAAAGAGAACTTGAAAGACGTTTTCAAGGATATTAATTTCTTACGACAGTTTAATCATCGAAACATCGTTAATATTATTGGTTTTTCAGCACTACGGGAGCCTGTTTTACTTGTTATAGAGTACCTTTCCGGTAATATCACAAATATATTATGGACTTATATATTTAACTACAAATTACCAAATATAATTTTTACGTATTGTAAATGTAAATTATATAAAACGCATGACTTGAAGAAATAAAATTAATGTGAACAAGTCAGTCAAATAATTAATTACCTTGCAAATTTTGCATAAACATTTTTATTACCAAATTTCTTCTACATCACACTTTTTGCACGGTATAAAAATATTTTAAAAAGTCCGAGGATCAACCTTATCAAATACCACTACAAACAGAATTTCTATTAGATTTTTAACTTTTTTCTATATACAGGTGGTTTGTTGTTGCATTATCTTAGGATGAGAGGAGACTCTTTAAATTCAAGACAGAAAATCAAAATGTGTCAGGATGTCGCAAATGGAATGGCTTACTTACATCACAACAAATGTATTCACAGGTAAAAATCGCTTATGTGCTGTTGTTGACTATCTTTTCTCTGAGACAAATATGGGGGAGGGGGAACAGTCCAGCCAACAGATCTGTAGGTGACCCATTCTGAAAGCAATTGAGACCAGAAAGCTACATGTGCTCTTTTTATGAAATTATTTATAAGAAATAAATACCCTGAAGTATCAAATTTGCAAATAAAAGATTTTTCATATTTTCTCTTGAAAAATGCCAAAAATGCTTAGTGATAAAATGAGTAATGTAACAGAGCAAGTTAGTGTTGTTTTAAATGATGAAATCTCAATTTAAAGCATTCCTTCTCAAATAGAATTTGGAAAATAAGGTTCACTGATATTTGTTCCCTGAATAATAAATTAAACTTACCTTAAAACTTACAAGAAAGATATGAAATGAATCTTACGCAACATATATTTGATGGTTGCAAGAACAGGTAATTCTCGAAATATGGCGACATTCTTGATTCTGGAATCAATTATAGACGTTTAATTTTTTGTCTCCTAGTAACTTTAAGGTCTAAGACAACCAATACCTGAACATACCTCAACAATAAATGGCAATGATAATATATGCTCAAAGAGCAGTTGCCGGCTTATGTCATCCTGTTAAAGGCAGGAAGTTCACCCCATAGTCGCCAATTTTAAGTTACGCGAAAAAAATAAAGTACTTAATTACTCTCAACCGCTTATGATAAAACACAAAGTTAAATAGAGCAACAAAAATAAATTTAAAGTTTTATCTATATAAATAAACATTAATAGTAATGACTTTGAAAACTCTAGTCCTAAGGCAAAGAACATAGTTCATTAGCGTAAGGATTTTTGATGGTCAGTGTTATCATAGTTCTCTACACATACGAGGAAAAGCAAGAGAGAGAACCAGACTGACATGTTTGTTTACATTCGTTCGAGGTACCAGATAAATTCTGGTTCGGATAAAATTGGAACGTTAAACTGTCTTATCATTAGGGTCTTCCGTCTCCAACGGAAGACACTCCTAGTATCTTATTGTTTCTTTTTCACTATTATTATTATTTCTCTCCGTCCATATTTTGTGCAGACGATTTCCGAGATGCTTGGACAGATTTATAAGAAATTTATAAGAAATTTACAGAATTGATGTATCACTATCTAAACCTGATACATTAATTATTTAATTAATTAATTAATTAATTTTTAATATTTTTTTTTGAAATTCCTTTCCGGTTATCTCCCTGTAATCGAATTTTAGCAACCATTTTGTCTGTACAAAAACTCAAAATCTACAAAAGCTAGAGTGCTGAAATTTTTAGTGATAGTAGAAGACATGTTCTTGTTGTGCACCTGGGTTTTAAAATTTTCTGAAAGTGCCTAGTATGGAAACTCGGTAGGGGGTCTAAATTTAGGACACGAATCATGAGTGATTTTTCGAGACATTTTGCGTGACATCTTTTGATGAACAAACATTTTTAGCTCACCTGAGCTGAAGGCTCAAGTGAGCTTTTCTGATCATATTTTGTCCGTCGTCCGTCCGTCCGTCTGTCTGTCCGTCCGTCTGTCCGTCCGTCTGTCTGTCCGTCTGTAAACTTTTCACATTTTCGACTTCTTCTCAAGAACCACTGGGCCAATTTTGACCAAACTTGATACAAAGCATCCTTGGGTAAAGGGGAATTTAAATTGTTGAAATGAAGGGACATTTCCTCTCGCAAGGGGAGATAATCAAGAAAAGACAAAAATAGAGTTGGGTAATTAAAAAATCTTCTTCTCAAGAACCACTGGACCAGTAAAGCTGAAACTTATGTGACAGCATCCTGGGGTAGTGTAGATTCTAAATTGTTCAAATCATGACCCCCGGGGGAAGGGCGGGGCCACAATGGGGAATCAAAGTTTTAAGTAGAATTATATAGGAAAAATCTTTGAAAATCTTCTACTCAAGAACCACTGGGCCAGAAAAGCTGAAACTTATGTGGAAGCATCCTGGTATAGTGTAGATTCTAAATTGTTCAAATTGTGACCCCCGGGGGAAGGGCGGGGCCACAATGGGGTATCAAAGTTTTACATAGAAATATATAGGAAAAATCTTTGAAAATCTTCTTCTCAAGAACCACTGGGCCAGAAAAGCTGAAACTTATGTGGAAGCATCCTGGTATAGTGTAGAATCTAAATTGTTCAAATAATGACCCCCGAGGGAAGGGCGGGGCCACAATGGAGTATCAAAGTTTTATATAGAAATATAAAGGAAACATCTTTGAAAATTTTCTTCTCAAGAACCACTGGGCCAGAAAAGCTGAAACTTATGTGGAAGCATCCTGGTATAGTGTAGATTCTAAATTGTTCAAATTGTGACCCCCGGGGGAAGGGCGGGGCCACAATGGGGTATTAAAGTTTTACATAGAATTATATAGGAAAAATCTTTGAAAATCTTCTTCTCAAGAACCACTGGGCCAGAAAAGCTGAAACTTATGTGGAAGCATCCTGGTATAGTGTAGATTCTAAATTGTTCAAATAATGACCCCCGAGGGAAGGGCGGGGCCACAATGGAGTATCAAAGTTTTATATAGAAATATAAAGGAAACATCTTTGAAAATTTTCTTCTCAAGAATCACTTTGCCAGGAAAGCTGAAACTTATGTGGAAGCATCCTGGTATAGTGTAGATTCTAAATTGTTCAAATCGTGACCCCAAGGGGAAGAGCGGGGCCACAATGGGGTATCAAACTTTTACATAGAAATATATAGGAAAAATCTTTGAAAATCTACTTCTCAAGAACCACTGGGCCAGAAATGTTGAAACTTATGTGGAGGCATCCTGGTATAGTGTAGATTCCAAATTGTTTAAATAATGACCCCCGGGGGAAGGGCGGGGCCACAATGGGGATTCAAAGTTTTATATAGAAATAAATAGGGAAAATCTTTGAAAATCTTCTTCTCAAGAACCACTGGGCCAGAAAAGCTGAAACTTATGTGGAAGCATTCTGGTATAGTGTAGATTCTAAAGTGTTCAAATAATGACCCCCGGGGGAAGGGCGGGGCCATTAAAGGGAATCAAAGTTTTACATAGAAATATATAGGAAAATCTTTGAAAATCTTCTTCTCAGGAACCACTGGGCCAAAAAAGCTGAAACATATGTGCCCATGGAAGGATCATAGGGTAGTGTAGATTTCAAAATGTCTAAATTATGATCAGTGGGGTAGGGTGGGGATGCATTATGTATAACAAGGGGGAAATCTGGTAAAGAACAGAATGGTCAAAGCTTCTCAGGTGAGCGATGTGGCCCATGGGCCTCTTGTAAAATAAAAAAAAATGTTTATTATGATACCAAGAAAAAAGTGCCTACTCATCACATTTAGGGCAGAAAATGGTCAAAAGTCTTTATTGAATATTTTTTTAGAATCAATATTTCGTTATACATTGCTGAAGCATCTTCACGGTCTACAACTATGTTTTATGATTTTTATGTAATATATTATATAAAAAGGGGCCACAAAGGGCCAGAATGCTAAATCTTTAACACATTATACATTTGTATCTCGAAAGTGGGAAATATTTTAACAAAAGATGTAAAAATAGTGTTCTAAACAATATGCAACCTTTCAATTTTCGCTAAAAGTCCCCATTAAAGAAATGAAGGGTTGGCCCCTTAATATTTCTTTTTGCAAATATCTCTAAAACGAAAAAGTATATTTGAATAGCTGTTAAACGAAAAGTGTTAAGAGTTTTAGGGAGAAATCAAGAAAAAGAGTCTGGACAGTCAAATTAGGGTCTAAGAGGGACCAAACGTCCTTCTTGAATAACTCTTTAACAGTCATTATTTCTTATACATTACTGAAGAAAACATGTTTATCTCAATAATTCACAACTATACATTATGATTTTTATGTTGTTTAAAAGCATGCGAGCTTTAAGATGATTTGAAGAAAAAAAGGCTGAAACCTCAAATAAGAGACCAAGAGGGGCCAGAAGTCGAATTTACGAGTATTTAATATTCAATATCTTTTCAACATTACGGGAGCAAAATGGTTTTTCTTAACAATATTATCATTAGTTTTGAATGAAAATCTCAATCAAAATATAATCTCATCAAGATTCGGACGGAAGACCCAATCGTTGCTCGCAACGAGATCCTTTCTAGTTTGATATTGATATTAAAAAAAATTAATCTGATACTCTTGTTATTTATATGTTAATACATGTACAATATGAATGCACGATCCATGTAAGAAAATCATGCTGCTCTATAAATTAGCCCGGTTCTCTGTTCTCCAGAGTACTTTGATTAAAATCCAGATTTGCAGTGGGAATCCTTAACCTAATTACTCCATAACTCAGAACACTACAGCTAGTGTGTTTAAATTCATTATTAGATTTGATTTAAACATATTTTATTATGTAAAATACATAAATGGATTGGGCAGCAGGCATAGCTTATATAAGCTCTCTCCATCTTATTCATTATTAGAATCTAGGTTTGCAATGCTGCTTTTCACAATAACATGGGATAGTTAGGACAATAATGAAACATTTTCTGACATAATCATAGCTATCTTATTTACAGGTATTTGGATGTTGGTGTATAAATATACTTGTTCATGTGCCTTATTCAGTTAATCATAGTGAAAAAAGTCAACAGCTTTTAATTTGATGTATGTGGTTCTTTTATTTTATTGATTTTCAAATATTAGATATAGAGTCAGGCTGCTTCTTAAAAAGAATAAATCATAGATATCTATTTTTTGTTTTTCATTACTAGATGTTGTTTCTTAGTGATTGCAGCTGAGTTTATATGTTAAAATGCTTTCACTCTAACGTTTTCTTCATCTTTTACCATGATCCCCCATTTTCAACTTTATTGTCGTTTTATTAAGAAGAAGGTATGGTTTTAGCTTTATTGTGCCCTAAAAATGTAATGACATCAAAAAGTTTTGAAACTGGCTTAAATATTAGTTAAATAAATGACTCTGATAAATCAGGGAAGAATACGGCATGAAGGTTTACCATTCTGCAAATATGACGTCATTAATGTGAAGCATTTCTCTATTTTCAACAGAAAAAAAAAACCTCACAATGGCACATTTCAAGGGTGATTTTCCTTTAGAAATCAGTGTCCACAGCCGTCGCCTACGTTAATTTTTTGATATTTTGTGCAAAATTCAATAACAAATCACATATCTCAAGATCTTTTTGGGCGATGTCTGTGGACAATGTTATCTGAAAGAAAATTCCATTGAAAACTGGTGTCTTCTGCAACTTTTTAAGAAAATACGGGAAAATGCACATGCTTATGACGTCATAATTAACTTTTAAAAACACATGTAAGAAAAATGATTTGTATGATTTTTCAGCATTGAATTTCAATTATTTAAAAAGCATGAGTATCCAACTTTTACACCAGTTTCATTTTTTAGAAAATCACAGGGCAAAATTTGTATGGAAACCATACCTTCTTCTTTCTTAATGGAACACTGATATGTAGTCAACTTTATGATAAATATAATTAAAAAATACAGAAGTGAAGTCTTTCTAAGAATTCAGTTTACCTCAGAAGATAAAACCTAATTTCTTTTACTTTTGGAGTTGTGGGGTAAATTGAGGCCATTTCAAATTTAAGCAGATGTATTCAGATCTCTATTCAAAATGTTTAAATTTTTGTCACGATTTATAATCTTATTTGTGAATTTACCAATTTATACCAGACTTTGAATAAAAAATCTCATGTAAAAAAAAACATATGAAGCCCTTATTTTTTAAACCGAACATGAAGACATAATATTCAATCGCTTAATTTGCAAAATAAACTGAATATAAGGTATGGTGTCCAGTTGTAGAAAAAAAAAACTCAATTAAGTTTAGCAAATTTACTTGCAGGCCCTTCAGGATTTTGATTTACGTTTTTTTCTTTTGTTTAGAGACCTTGGAGCAAGAAACTGTTTAGTTGGTGAAGATTCTACAGTTAAGATTTTCAATTTCCGAATGGCAGAAATGGGGGATCAGTATGAATCTATCAGTGCCTATTTTTATGCCTCAAAATGGACACCACCTGAGTCTATTCTGTCAGGTAAATATGATAAAGGGTTCCTTCGCTTCGATTGACGATATGACGTTATATTGCTGAATAACTATTGAAAGGAGAATCTGGGATTTGATTTGAAAGTGCTAAAGTTTAGTTAATCTTTTCATGATATTATTTAAATTACATCACAGCTGCCTTAAGGACGTTTCGAGTTCATCTTTAATATCCACATCATGAGAAGAATTTTTAGATCTGTAAATAATTTAAAAAGCAAATAGGCAATAATATGATAAAGTATTGATCAATCAATTAATGCAATGCAAATGGTAGGACTTTCAACTGCCACTAGAGTTCTATGCAAAGAACGATAACTCATAACATGAACTTGTTTACAGCAGATCAAAGGTAGCAAATTATGATCAAGGCATTTAAATTTTAAAGCAATCTATCTACTCATCGAAGAAAAAATTAAACTTTGCAGCTGTTCATTGCTCGAATACGACTGAGTCAACGATTTGTTGTCACAAGTTATGTTCACATTGTGACGTAACAAACATTGAACAAAATATTTAAGTACATACATGTATGCTATTTATAGAACATCTGCATGACAATAGGTGTGCAAAAGTTCATTCCGATGTGAGTTCTTGTTTGGTAAATTTTTTTTTTTCAATCACTCCTCGTATATATATATTTTATTTATTTCATTTCTTTGAGTTCCAATCAATTGCCTTCCGGAAAAAAGTACTCACAGCTATTTTTGATAAAAATATCATAATAGAACGTTGAAAAAATTAGTTTTGATTACCGGTATTTCATTATAATTTATCCAGGCAAATTCACATTCTTCAGTGACGTCTGGAGTTTTGGGATCTTAATGTGGGAAATTTTTTCATCCGGACAAATACCTTACAGTGACATGAAAAGATGGGAAGCTGCTGGAAAAGTTGTCGAAGGTATAAGTGACAGTTGTTAGTTCAGTCTAGGTTTAAAAATGTCATCGTTAATATCAACAAAAAATTGTTTATCATTTAGTTCATGTCTACAATCACATACCAAACTGATTTTCAACCTGTACTTGTATTACATTAAAAAGCAAAGTATTGAATTAAATTTATTCCTTTTATGATATAAATTTTAAATTGAATAGCGAGAATTTAATTATGAATTAAATTAAAAGTACACATAATTTCAGATGTATTCGGGGGTTAAATAGATGTTTTTATTTTATTTTTGTTTTCTTTTTTTTAACTTATGAATACCGAAAAAACTATTAGATCAGATTCTGGGCGAACAATATCATAAACATCAACAAGGTTTTGTGGTGGTTTTAAAACAATCAGTTGGATCAGATTTGCAGCTTTGGTAGATGTACCTACTATGCGAAAAAAGCCACTGACAAAAGTTGAAGTAGAACAGTAACCGCGAGCCTTGTGAAAGTTTTCACGTAAAGATTGCATTAAGGACCCTAGCAATCCTTCCTTTGCTGATAAAATGAGGCTTAAAGTAGCAAATTTTGACTTATTCTTCAATAAACTCTGCTCATATTCTTTCTGTGGTAAGGCAAATTCTAAATTTGTCAAATCTTGTAGTAGATGACGACAAAGCTTTTCTTAAAAAAATGAGACCAGTAAAGCTAAATCTTATGTGGAAGGGTAAAATCATAATTGTTAATCAAAGGACAAGATAGGCTAAGACCCCTTTCGGCCTCTGGATTTAAGTGTAATTTTGAATTATGCAACTGTTTATCTATGTTTCTATTATTACCCCTGCCACAATATGAGGATTGGTTTTAAGTTATATGCATTTTTTTTTTCAAAATACATGTATTCGTCTAAAACGTAAACACAAGTAATTAACAAGAATGTCAAAAAGTGTACTTGTTAATTGAATTGTTTGGTACGTGTTCAAATCTACACAGAATTTGATTAGGTGACCAACAAAGTTCTTTCCCAGAGAACATTTTAATAGTGTTGTTTATTTCTTAATTACATCTCTAAATACCAATATCAAGAATTCTATTTTTTTTGCATTTGACGTCATCCGACCTACTATGACGCCAAAATATATTTGAATGCTTCTTGACATACCTGCGTATGTGTTATCAATTGTTGCATAACTACAAATATTTTTGAAACTCTGAGAGGCAACGGAGCTAAAGCTAAGTAATTTGATATGCAGTAAATTAAATCGAATTAATCCAATACTTCGTGTATACGCTTTTAATATAAATTCAAATTAGATTTGTTTAACTCTTTTCATTTTACTGAACTGTTATGCAACATGCACTTCATGTTCACGTCATATAAATATAACGTAACCATTTTCCCGCAAGAACTTTATAGTGTAGTACAAGTTTCTCTAAAAGTCAGCGTAAATGATATAATTACGTAATATTTCAATAAGTAAATAACTTTTATTATTTATTGAGATTTTAGCAAGTATGAAATTAAAAGAAATGGGAATTAAATTGAAGATTAACTCTACTTTTTAAAGTTCGTAAAAATGCATGATTGCGGGAAACGGTATATGTGTGATTTTGCTTTAGGAATAGGAAATGGTATATGCGTTAAAATACGTGACTGCGGGGAAGAGGATTAATTGAATGAAATTATCCGTGTTAACAGGATATCAATTGTGAGTTAATTAAGTGGGAGATTAAGTTTTTTGCGTTTTCACAATTGATTCATTTTGAATTCAATCCCAATGTAAATTATTTATCTTATATTTCAAAACACCCATCAAGTAAGTAAGTTATAATTTTAGTTAGCAAGATTGGTAAGTGGCTCTAGAAAAGTTTAAGTATGAAAATGAAGAAAACAGACAAGCAAACATACTCGTATTAGACATTTTTGTCAAGAGAGTTAACTGGTACCTACGGCTCAAGGGATTTAGAACTAATTCTATATTTAGAAGAAGTAAAACTTTCAATTGAAATAAAATTGAATAACCTCATATTAATAATTATTAATAGCAATAAAAGTTAATAAAAAGGAAACCTTTTTTGAATATGCGTGTGTATGATTAAAAAATACAAAGCATCAATTTTGTTTTCTCGTTTCCATTGTTATTTTTTTAGGATATAGGATGCCTCCGCCTCCAGGGACCCCAAAGTCTTCTTATGAAGTGATGTTAAAGTGCTGGGATAAGGAACCGAGTAATCGATACTGTTTTAATGCTGTTGTGGAAAAGCTGACTAAAATTATCAAAAAAGTGAAGTGACATAGAAAATGAATAAAACGAATGTATAAAGCGTAGAAGAATTCACACAATTTATTTTTGTATAATCGGTTATGCTATAGAAAAATATTTTTTCTTTACATATCGTTTTTCTTATGCCATATAAAGTGAATGGAATTCAAATTATCTATTTGAATCTCAAAGTCCATAAAGCAATACAAAATAGGATTATACAAATTACGGTTAAACATCGTTTTAGTGGTTGAGGTGCCATAATCGTGAACGCTCAGAGTTAGTGCAACGTTTTACAAGTCATGAAAATGAAAAAATCTTAAAATTTAAAACTGTTTTCATTATTATACCGGAGGCTGTTACATTGGCTGTTCCATAAGCTGTAGCTTACAAACAGGATAATATATCGGTTTTAAAATAGAAATCACATTTGCAGTTATATATAGAAATATCTTTCAAAAATGTATTAATATAAGGAAGCATATAAATTTCATTAACTTTTTGAAGAAAATTTAGTCAAATAAATTACCAAAACCACTGATAAACATAAATTGTTCATACAGAATGCTCTTGCGTATCGCTAACGCGCGTTTTCCTTATAAAAAGGTTTGTTTTTTCATTAATATAGCAAAAACATTATTTTATCTGAAAAGTTAAAATCTTTCAAGAGATATATTCATAAAATATTATTCTCTTTAATTTGCCATCTTTAGTTGTGAATTTGTTTCCATATAAATCAGATTCTCTTGTATTCTTTTTTGCACACTATACATTTAATTTTACAATTATGTTTTTTCAATTGTGTTCTGTTGCATTTTTTTTATTGTGTGTGTACTAGGCCGATATAATATAGCTGACTGTCTCGAAAGACAACATAATCGATGAAAATAAATTAACATGTTAAAAATTGAAAGATCCATACGAATTTAACACAGTATTCATAACGTATTTTACGTTCTAAACACAAATTCTCTTTACACGACATAATCAATTTCCAAGTTACTTGATCTTTTTTCATACATAATGTGTTAAAAATTCACATTTTTTGTTTAAGTTTGTAATCATTTTCTTTTACATAGCTTGTGTGTATTTCGCGCGTATCCCATAACCATTATAGTGAAGCCAAGGTAGAAAATTTTATTTATCAATTACATGTAGTTACATATGTAGTACAAACAATAAAATGTTAAAATGTATACATGAAAAAAAATACAAACAGATAATCAAGCAAACACGATATTTCTCTTTAACGTTTTGACATATGCAGAAAAGGTGTATTCATTTGAACTTTTTTTCATTATTAAATTTTACATGAACTTGTTTCTTAACTCGTGAAAAACTGGATAAATGAATGAGAAATTAAATTCATTTTCAATATCATTTACATTACATAGATCACATTTCCTATCGCACTCCTTATTAAATGGGTGGAAAAGGAAAGGAAAACAATAAAAAAAAAAGAAAAGAAGTGAAGATACAAGTATAACAGCAGATAATGAGCAATAAGAACAATCAGACTGTGACTTATTACCATTGTTTAAAGTTATTACGCAGGCCGAAAGGGTTTCTATATGTTTACAGTGTTAAAACTTCACTCCAAGGGCCAGCCACTTCCATCCCTGCCCCAAAAAAGTGATCACGTCTTTAGAGAGTCAAACGTTAAAATAAAGAAGCAAATCTGTATCAATCCCGTAACTATGACGTCACAGATGACAGTCATGTGTATAAAAAAAAAACGAAGAAAAAGATAAAAAATCAAAATGTGATAAGAAATTCATCATTTTGAAGTTGAATATTTAATTTATGTCACCAGAGAGATAAGACTGTTATCTTTTTTTCTTAGCACTTCTGAAAAAATACTGGCTCATTATTGAAATAAATCCAATATTCAATCACAAAAAATGGTGCATTCTCTTTTTTTTCTATTCAACAAAAACACTTTGTAATGAAAGAATATATAAACAAGAAAAATACAAAATAATCGAAAGATTTTTTTTTATTATTTCGACACAGGTGACTTTCATATAATCAATGTTGGAAGGGATTTTTTTTATTAAAATGCTAGGCATTGTAAATTTTTACCGTGTTTAAATCAATACCGACATTATGATTAATTTGTTAACATTTTTGCAACAATGCTTTTAATCTTTGGAAAATTCTACATGATACATGTATAAAGTCCTGTATTCTACCAGGAGGCCTCCTTAATTTTTTATTGATTTTAGAGAAAATGTATTTATTTATTTTTATATCTTCAATAAATTTTAGAACAAAATATGTTGACGGATAATATTTAGTTTGTGTCCTTTTTTATGAGCCTAATATATGTAACATACCATTTGAAATACAAAATTTGTAGTGCCTGGTGTGATAAAAATAGGTCATTCATGAAAAATAACTATCTTATAAGTACCATTATTAAGGTTTGTGGAGGATCCTTAATGAGAATCTTTTTTCATTCGACACATTGATTTACAGCCGTATGTTGAAAAAAATGAAACACCTTTAACAAGATGAAGATTGATTGATTGATTGATTGTATATTGTTTAACGTTCCTCTCGAGAATTTTTCACTCATATGGAGACGTCACCGTATGCCAGTGAAGGGCTTCAAATTTTGACCTTTACTCGGCACTCAGGGCCATTGAGCAGTGAAGGATCTTTATCGTGCCAACGCCTTCAAAGTGCCGAACGCATGGCGAAGGAACAGTTGCTACCCACTTAAACGACTAGGTCAGTCGCGGCCGAGTTAAAAAATCACGACCTCCCGATCACGGAGTCTTTTAAACGGTAAGAAGATGAAGAAGATTAATTAAATTTAATGTAAATGACAAACTTTCTCAAATGCACCTTATTTTTTTTTTCTTAAAAATATTAAACTTTTTTTGTTTAAATAAAGGTACGTATTAATATAAATGTTTTTCCGTGTACTTATACGTACAGTTAAATGTATATAATAATACGATTCAAGTTTAAAAAGAAGACTATTTTTCACTCTTTTCTGTTTTATAAAATTAAATATATTCTTCCTTTTTGGCATGATCTATTTCTCTAAACGGTTATTGAAATCAATGAATAAAATCTTAAAGTCGCATTTTTCTTTTGTAAAACCATTGAAGTCATAACTTCCTTAATTTATTCGTTATTTGCAAAGGTAATTACATGCATAAATATGAAACATTCATTTTTACAAATATATTTGTGTGTGTATTTGATATAAATTTCTTTTGAGTGCAGTTTTATGCAAGTATGTTCTAAATATTTCCTCATAATAACTTCACTCCTGCCTTCGACTTTATTTTCCAATTGCAGCATTTTTCTGGAGATGCTTTTAGAAAATTTTATTTTTCTATTTTTTTGTATCCCGATATTTTGTTTTGGTAAGTATTTATATCTTGTCATCTCTTTTTTTTATTTTAAGTCCAAGAACAAGAAAAATAAAAGAAAATCTGAGTTTTACAAAATGTTATTTTCAATTGCATATATATATATATCGTTCACGGTAGCTCAATCGGTAGAGCGATCGCTCCGTGATCGGGAGGTCGTGGGTTCGTATCTCAGCTGCGACTGAACTAAGTCGATAAAAAATGGGTAGCAACTGTTATTTCGCCATGCGCTCGGCACTTTGAAGTAAAAGTTACGGGTCCTTCGGATGAGACCTTAAAAATCGAGGCCCCATGTCAGCGGCAGGCTTTGGCACGATAAAGATCCCTCACTGCTGAAAGGCCCTGAGTGTCGAGTAAAGGTCAAAATTTGAAGCTCTTCATCAGCATACGGTGACGTCTCTATATGAGTGAAAAATTCTCGAGAGGGACGTTAAGCAATACACAATCAATCAATCAATTGCATATATGGATATATTTTATTGAAATGTTTGCTGTGTTTTAAAGTTATTAAAAGTAGTGAATTTGCATTCTAATTTGTTTACCTTCATAAACGAGCCATGGAATTCCATTTCATGCATTGATTAATTACCTACATCTGTTTATAGCAGGTTTCTTAGTTGATATGTATTTAGAGTCTAAGAAAAGAAAGCATTGTACGTAATTATCATTGTTAATTGAAAGAATTTTGAACAATTGAGTCAGAGCTGCTTATCATTGTACATGTACCCCTTATAAATAATCATTCATTTTCCCAGTACTTTTTATATATCATATTTTCAAATGTGGAACTAGCAGTGATTAAATCACGAATTCAACGAAACAATTTATCATTTCATGTCCCTCTAATTTTTGAGCTAGTATTATCTTATTTTTTGTTTTTCCTTTCTGTTCATTGTTATCAACAATCCAGTTGATCTTTGTTTACTCGAGATTTATGCTTTTGATCAGCTTCTCCGAATAAATGAAAGTCTTGGTTGTCAAAAAGTAACTTTTCAAATCAGTCGACATGAATACATATTCTATTTCTGTCTGTTTTTGTCTGGAATACAAATCCTCTAATATATATTTGCTTGTCCTTGAATATAATCCAAAGCACGTACGTTTTAATACAACGTACTTCACATTAATATATTCTTTAAAAAAACTAAAATGACAGTTATGAATTTACAATAGAGATATTATTACAGACGATTTATCCTCTGGTCATCAAGCCCAACAATTTGAAACATGGGCGTGTGTGTCCTCAACTTGCCATCTTTATCAAGCACAGAATGCAGTGGACGACGACGTACAGACTTGTATGAGGACTTCAACTCTTGAAATCATGAGCAGTAATAAATCTAAGCATTACACGTGGTGGTATGTCGACCTAGGGGATATAAAGAGTGTATACAATATTAGGATTCAATTCAAGGATTATGGAGCAACTTATGGTATGTTCAAATGTTTGTTGATTGTTTTTAATTGAAAGATAGAGTCTTTCAGTTCAGACCAAACTATGTTTCAAACTCATCTTCGCAGAGTAAAATTTTCATTCAAAAATATATTTTATGAGGAATTTTTTTTCATAGATTAATTGACTTCAAATGTTTTATTGAGCGTCATCGAGAAATTTAGACATAAGTCAAAGAAAATTCTTTTTTTAGAGAATAGACAGAGGGGTCGTTTTGCGGGATTTTCTCTGTTTTTGTCCAATACAACAAGAAAAGAAGAAGGTCAACAATGTTACATAAACGGCCCTGAATTACCTCCCCTTGATTTTAATACAACATGTATAGGTCACGGGCGTTACGTCATCTATCACAATGAGAGACTTCCGGGAAAAGTTTACCCTCAAGGATATGAAGTAAACTCCGTAACAGAGCTTTGTGAGGTCAGAGTTCAAGGTTTGTTTCTCTTTTTAATATAATACCGTATAAGTGGAAATTTTAGTGAGACGCAAATTTAGCGATTTCTCCTTAAAAACTGGGATTTTATTTTCAGCGAAAGTAATTTTAGCGAATTTAAAATGCTCACTAAAGAAGCTAGTATAAATAACACGCAATTAATTTTTTAGCGATATTCAAATTTAGCGATCTTAAAAGCCTAGCTAAAAATGCAAAACTTAAATCCTCGCTAAAATTTCCACTTATACGGTATGCATTGCACCTCATAAGTCGAATGTTTAATATTGTAAGCTAATTGATTTCTTTATTGATTATTACTTCAATATGAAGAATTTAGATTTTGCTGATTAACATCAGTAAACAGTATTTCTCTGAAATTTCAAATGTATAAGGATGCAGTACAAAAGGACAATATGGAGTGAACTGTTCCCTAAAGTGCTCAGGAAATTGTCAGGAAAATAGATGCAGCATTCTTAGCGGGACTTGTCTTGGCTGCAGAGATGGATGGCTCGGTCCGTACTGCGGAAAGAGTATGTCCTAGTTCTTCTTTTGTGTTGCAATCTCATTTTTTGTTAAGCAAATTTAAAAAAAGTCCATGTGATTTTTTTCTTTTCAAATTTACATAGAGTGTCAAGAAAGGTATTATGGACCGAGTTGTAAAAGGACGTGTGTTGGACACTGCAGGTACAATGAGACCTGTAATCACGTGACAGGGTTGTGTACAGAAGGTTGTGGTGAGGGATGGACAGGAGAACTCTGTAATAAGGGTAAGGACAATATAAAAAAATAGAAAATTGTAGAGGAAATTCAAAGTAAGGAATTCAAAGCTGCTTCAGCAAGAACCCTTGATTATATTCTGATATTCGTTGTTATGTATGTTTAAAAATGTTATTGATCTGTTGATTATGCAAAAAATTTCATAACAATAAAAAAATCCATGTACCTTTAAAAACATATATACCGCAGAGAATCATTAAAAATCGCAATTCAATTCAATAATAAATTGTTTTTTATCAATATCAATGCAAAATTGGTTAAAAAAAACTTTCAAAGTGACTAACGTTGATTGTTTTTTTTTTGCATAGCATGTGTGACAGGACATTATGGGAACAACTGCATGCAGAAATGCAGCGAGCATTGTCTAAATGGTGAAACTTGTAACAGATTCACAGGGATCTGTAATAGTGGATGTGCAATCGGTTATTATGGGGTTCGCTGTGATGCTGGTAAATCAGATTTTTTTTAACAAAAAGTGATATGCTGTTACTGCGTGAAAAATATCTATAAAAGTAAATATATTTTCTCGTCCATTCATAAGATAAAGATTAGTAACCGTTTTGATTTCTTTAAAGAGGTTAAACTGCCTTTTTGCGCAAATCTAATGGTAAAATTAAAGTAACGATGAAATTGCCAAATCATAGCGTCACAATCTAAACTATAAAACTTATAGACATAGGTAAATAAAAGAAAAAAATCATCTAATAAACATATTTTGAGCTAAAATGTTCAAAATGTTGTTAATGTCTCCAAATTATTCAAAAGTTAACAGATCCTTGTCTTAGTGTAATTCATTTTTACACCAAGACAGACTATTGTGATGTTAGAGGGAATATAACAACGAGGGTTTACTTGGGTTAGGGTTAGTGGGGGTTAGGGATAGGGTTAATGGGGATTAGGGTTGGTGGGGTTAGGGTTACTTCTTTGCATTTTTTAAACGTTATTATTGTTAAGTCTAATCCTTCACAGCTAAAAAAATCATTTGGTGGTATCTTGGCTTCCGTTTCATTTGTTTGTTTGTTTGTCATTCCTGTAATTTTTTAAAGTTTATTTTTGTTGTTTAATTAATATGTCTATCTGATAAATGCAGAAGACATAAAGTGGATGCAACAGATATTGAAGGGAAGCATTCTCTTCTCCTGTCTCCATCTATTTTATTACAGGGCATCCGTGTATCTGCAATTTAGACTCCCTTTTATTGCTTGTAGTTTCTTATTCCACCTATGTTATTACAGGGAATCCGAGTATAGGACTCCCTTATATTGCTTATAGTTTCTTTATCACTCAGTCAATCCCTATCTTCACGTTCTTCATTTACAGTGTGTCCACCTGGATTCTTTGGAGTAAATTGTGAGCAGAAATGCAATACAAACTGCAAGAATACATCCGACTGTAATCCTTTCAGTGGGCATTGTACGTCGGGCTGTAAAGTTGGGTACATGGGATCATTTTGTAATGATGGTAAACACATTGTTAAACCTCTGTTACTTTTAATAACTTTTACCATTGTCCAAATATTAAATTATTGTTGTGTAAATTCCTATTTATTAATGTGAAAGGAATTATGTTATTTGTATCTTGTACTGTTGCTAGGGGCATTTACTCTTTATATAATTACATAATTAGGTGAGGCGAGGAAAAATAATAAGTGCTCCATTGCTTATAAATAAGGTCACTTACATGTATAAATTCACAGCACTGAAATTCGAAATTTGTTGTTCACAAGTTATTTAAGGACACCATTTTTTGAGAGTATGCAAGGGCATATATAAATGGGATAATTTGCATAACGGGCTTATGCTAAAATTATCCCATGTTTCCCAAATATCTGAAATTTGTTATAGTTTTTCTTGAAATAACCATCATAAAATAAATCGAAATACCGTATAGATTCCACAAGGCCCCATGACGTCAAATTTTACTATAAAAAATAGTCCCCCCAAAAACGAAACAATTTATTGACTATTTATATTTACCGAGCCAAATATCAACATTAATAAAATAAACAACAAAAGAATTTTAATTGATGATCAAAGTAATCTTGTTGACTTTAATTATATATGTGACCTAGATTTAGGTTGTCGGAAGCACGAACATGAATAGGCACTATGTCACTTCTATATTGAATGCAATGTTGCTGAAACGGGAGCTGGTCAGCATGGTCAGGAAACCGATTTGTATGGATGTTATAATAACAGAAGAAGTTGTCAAGAAGTCGAATGTAATGACAAGGGACGATGTCATGTATCAAATTTACACCATGTGGCAATGTCAATTTCTCCATGTTACGGAAATTTGCAAACAGCGGATGTGACTACCGAAGTTATGATTTATTTTGTTTGTTAATATATCATATCAAATCTTAGTAAACAATTAAAACAGCTTTTTTTCTTGTATATTTATACGTGATATACATGCAGGTTGAACCTGACCTTTCAGTTAGAGAAATATACATATATTATCATGAAATAAACAAGAAACACTTTTGTAGTGTTTATCATAGAGAAAACAATTGGAAATGGAAATATATAGAACAAATCTCCCTTGTATAGTGCCGGAAAGTTGATATTATCAAAAACCTATATCTCACAATGGTTACTAAACGAGCTTTATTTTTTTAATAAAGTGTGTTCGGAGGGATTTTATGGGCATAACTGTGCAAGAAGGTGCAGCGCTGCATGCATGAACATTTCATGCGATCATCAAAATGGGCAATGCAAGTATGGCTGTAAACCGGGGTACACCGGGTATAACTGTTCTCAAGGTTAGTGATTTCAGTACAAAACTAATGATTATATTTCATGACATTTAATTGGGAAAATGAAGATGTATGTAATTTAGCAGTTTAATATGTGGGTTTTTAACCAATTCCGAATTCATTTAGTAATGTAGTATCGTTGTATACTACGTTATACTGTCACCTACCTATTTTGTCTCGCAATCGATTCAATATGTAAGAACATTTACGTACATGTACAGATAGATTTCAAACGAAACAGAAAACTATCAAAGAAGTTAATGTCAACATTTTGCAAATTCTATTCTACTTTGACTTTGTTTGCATATAAAATTCGTCACTGAGTCAAATGTTTAGAGACATTTGTTATTAAAATTTTCATGTCGTTATTTTCACTTAATTGTATACGGATTTTGCCATTTACCCCACCATGAGAAGACAAATTGCAAAAAAGGGATATGACTAATTAGCATTAGGAGCTAAAGTCTGTTAAGCCTCCTGACCATGACATAAGATGTCAGTATTGACTAATAATTTGCATTCTTGAATTGAACTTGTTTAAAAGAACTCTATGGAATGATCTGTTCGTTATTTTTATGTTTTATCGTGAAAAACACGATGAATTACAATTCTATCATCATCTTTTCATACAGCATGTTTACCTGGGAGATTCGGAGCGGGCTGTTTACATTATTGCAGTAATCACTGTAAAAATAATGACGCATGTCAACATGTGGATGGATCATGCAGGAAAGGTTGTTCCAGTGGATATAGGGGATCGCAGTGTAATTTACGTATGTTATCAGAGATAAATAATTCATGACAATTATCTGTCTTTACATCAAACTAAAATGGGGAAATACTTTTCTGTGATTATAATCAGTGGTGTATATAAGACTTTCATGCATTTTGAATTTTCCTCAGCAAAAGTAAAATGAGTTTAAAATGACGTTAATTAGGTTTATAAAAACATTTAATTAAATTATTCTGAAAAAAAGCTTTTATTTTTGTCGATATTTAGCCAAACCATTTTTTTAGGTAGATTTTACTTAACATTTCTTAACTTTAATTTGAAATTGTATACTGTTTGTTATCTCCTTATCCTTCTTATAAAAATATTAAGCATGATCTCGAAATGTGATCAAACATCTTATCTTCAAATTATGTTTGGAAATGTTTTTTACATATGATAATCAACATGTACTAAAATTTGCACAAAAACTATACGTTAAGATAAAGAGAAAATGAAATAGATTCCTTTGTATAATTTTAGCTTGCAAGCCTGGATTTTATGGTTTGAACTGTTTAACTGGTTGTTCGAGTAGGTGTCTAGAAACATGTTATCACGTGGACGGAACATGTTTATGTAAAGAAGGCTGGAAAGGTTCCCCCTTGTGTAATACAGGTAACGTACTACAGGTAACGTACTACAGGTGACGTACTACAGGTAACGTACTACAGGTAACGTACTACATGTTTCGTACTACAGTGTATTAAACATATTGAGTTAGTGAACAGTATTCAAAATCAAAATTCCATAAAACAATACAAAAAAGGAGCAGAGCAAACACTGACCTCCAAAACATCAGAGGTGGGATCAGGTGCCATGGAGGAGTGAAATCCCCTGTTGATCGGTCACACCTACCGTGTGCTCCTTGTCACGATCAGGAAATAATGGAAAAATTCGTCGTCAATTCAGTGTATAAGTAATAAACTAATAATTAAAAACATCGTGTAGTCAGCATTCAAAATTCTCATAAAAGTAAAAATTGTGAACTGAGGCTAATTAGATTTTTTCGCTTACATTATTTATACATGAATAATTTTACAATAAAACATGCATTTTCACGAAAAATATGGAGTTAATACTTTTTAGCGGAAATTGCGCAGGGACTGTAATAAATTAACTTGTATCAAAATCATCAGTCTGTGCATTATTCAATTGATTTCAATGTTTTGTTTACAATCATTAAATGAAATTCATTCAAGGAAATTAGTTTTTAAAACTATTACTGCTTCCTTTTTACTATCAAAGAAAATTGGATCTTTACCTTTCTATGTAAAATAAAAATGTTTCAAGCTTTTCAAATTAAAGGGGACGAAGTATTATGGTCATTTACTCAATTAATGAAAGAGTTGAAACTTCATATTTTTCTCAAATGTAAAAATATCTTCAATTTTGTAAAAACTCAGGCTTATTAGATTTTTCCGATACTTTATAATTTTTAATCAATAGATGAACTAATTTTTAGTGTTAAGTATATTAAATAATATTTCATTCTTTTATCACAAGAGTGTCCACCAGGTAAATATGGAATTAATTGTGGGAACACCTGTAGCGGAAATTGCGCGGAAGGAGATATCTGTGACAATATTAACGGAAGTTGTGCAAGAGGTTGTAAAGAAAAAATTACCGGAGACAAATGCAATGGTAAAAAAATGATTTCATTTTTTTTAAATTTTGTATTTCAGTATCTCAGGTTTATCCTGAAACATCAAATTGTCATCATACGAATGCAACTAGAAGTTTACATTTGATCAACCTATTTGCTTTATTTTTTCTTTACCTTTCTAATCTTAAAAAAAAATGGATTTTTTTAAACTTTCTGATTTGCTCGTTTTTACTTTATTTCTTTTCAAGTTTTTCCAACGTTTAAAACATCTTTTTTTAATTTAACAGTACGTTAATACGCTAATTTGTTTCCTTTTAAAACAATATATGAAAATATTTTTATCTGTTAGAATGTGAATTCGGGTATTATGGTGAGAGTTGTTGTCATGAGTGTACCGGAAATTGCGCTTTTAATGATACATGTAATCAAACAGACGGTGATTGTCCACGAGGCTGTAGTGTTGATTTCACTGGAAATAAATGCGATCAAAGTAATACCTTTCAAAATTAATTTCAAATTTAGTACTTGTTCCTGAATTGGATATTTTTTGCCTCAATTTGTTTTATATCATATTTTTATTCAATTTAACTAACTACTTTTAAATGACTTCTATTTTATTGCTCGTATTGTAGTTTGAAAGTTTTAATATATATATTGTTTTTTTTACAGTGCGCTTAGACTCTAAAATGGTTTTCCCATTGAAAATCTGCAGCAGTTTGAACCAATGTAACACGATGGTTAATGTATCAATTGTTGTCATAGCCTTCGTTTTGTTAGCAATACTTGTCTCCCTTCCTATACGGTAATGAGAATTCATTGAAAAAACTGTCATTTCTCAAATAATTTGAACTGTTTGTTATAACGTCTGTTGGTTTATTTTTTTAATGTCTCGCCTGTTTCTTATTTTTGTAGGTTATGAAGTCTGTTTATCTGTTTGTTTGCTTGTTTTGTTTGTTTGTTAATTGTTTTATGTTTTGAGAATTTAAAATATGTAATTAAATGAATTTTTATATCATGTTTTGTAGCAAAATAAGAAAGCATAAAAGAAAACCCGATTATGAAAAATACGAAGAAACGATGGGATCACCATCACAGGAGTTAACAGATAATATAATAGACGAAAGTCACGGTTATCAAGAGATAGAAATCAAGACAAATAATGCCTACGAACCCATATTTTATGAAAACAAAAAGAGATAGCTTTAGCAATGCTTAAGTATGGATTTGTGGAATTATTTTCCGATGCACAAAAGTTTTTTAACCAGAAAGTTTTCTATTTGACTCGATGAGATTTGTTGAAATGAACCAGTGTGACATAAGTTATTTTTAACTTTTACTTCAAAATTTAAGATAACGGTAAACCTGTCTTGTGTGTGTGCGTGGGGGGGGGGGGGGGGGTGATGGTTACAGGCTCTATAAAGCAAGGAGTGAATTTAAATCTATTCCTAAATAAGATTAATTTATCAAGTCTTATTCTTAAAGAAATATTCTGTTTCATTTAGAGCTGACTAGTGTATAATGTCAAATCATTTATCAGCCATGTTGAATAAAGGTAATATCATTTTTGTAGGTGCTATTTATTAACATGTTTATTATTCATTAACATGTTTATGTATGTTAATATTTTTGGTGCTTCATAACGATGACAATTTTTAGTAAAGTTTTTCTAATAATTTCAAATCATAAGAAAGACTTATTAGAGAATATCTTACAGGAGTTTCATGTTGTAAATTTTGTATTTACTGCCACCCGGTAAATTAAAAATATACAACATGACAGGAGTATCAAGCATATGTTATCAAAATTAATTATGCTCAGTAAATGAATCTGCGTTTTTATATAAGAAAAGGAAATTAAAACATGGACATTCTATTTAGCAATTAGATTCATAATGAGGGAGAATTTTGAATGAAATGTATTTTGATCCATTGACATTTTATACTTTTGGAAGCTCTTATATAAAAGAAGCTTATTTAAACGGGAAGTTTTTGGTAGTAAAATGTGTACTTGTTTGTTTATTTATTCTTCACTGAAATTGAATTGATTTCGATTCTTCCACTAAATGGTTTATCAGAACAATATTATGTGTCAAAATTGCCTAGAGCATGGCATGCGAAATTTGAGTTATCATTGTTGCTTTTTGCGTAGGTTGAAACATAAGCGAATAAGGGTCATGCTGATAGATATTGAAAAAAAAACTACGAGGTATCCTCATAACATTTGTTGTTTGTTTGTTGATGTTTAACGTCCCTCTCGAGAATTTTCACTCATATGGAGACGCCACAACTTGCCGATTGGAAGCTGCAATTTTTATTCTATACTCAGCACTCGAGGCCATTGAGCAGTGAGGGATCATTTTCGTTCCAATACCTACTGCGACACAGGATCTTGGGTTATTGAATCTTATCCGACACACTGGTTTCCATGTCCCACAGTGTGATTTGAACCCGTGACGTAAAGACCAACTCTTTACCTAACGATTCTAGAGCAGACACTTTAACTACTACGCCACGCGGGAAACAACATTAATTATGAATTAATATATATTTGAACATATTTGTAAATTTGTTTTGTGTTGGATTATGTAACCCGTACTAAATTAAAATGTTGCAGTGAAAATGTAAATCATTTGTAAAACTTTGACAAATGAAAACAAGGATTCGTGAAATTACTTTGTTATATCCGTAATTTGTTTTTCCCAACAGAATTTGTTTCATTCATATAGCTCAGGATCTAAGATAACTTCGCTGTATCCGTGAATTCGCTATATCCTTGATGGTACTAAACGAGTTTTACGGTACAAGTTTTGATACATTTAAAAATATATTTAATTGCGTATCATGAAATGTGTAAATGCGTTACAACGATTATTATATAAATGATTGAGATTAAAATTATTTAGCTATACTATTTGATGCAATGCATTATTTTAGTATATTATGACAGTAAATTTATCGAAATTCTACTATTCATTTTGAATGTTAAGCTTGCCTTATGCTCAGGTTCATAATATTTTGAGAAAATTACTTTCAGGAAACTTTGATCTTTCAACTGGTGACCAAACAGAATAGGTTGAAGGCTTTTAGAATAAAGTAAATGATTGTGTAAGGAATTAAAAAGGAAATAACTAACTATCCTTCCATTCTACAAAATAGGAAGTGAGCAAAGAAAGACTACACAATTATAACGTGTATTGCCCTCATTGGTTCAAGCCGAAAAGGTTCGTAACAACATTGACTTTTTTGAAAGGCTTTTTATCATAGCACTATTTTAGAAGAACTTTGATTTTTTCTACTTCTGGAAATCCTACGTTTAATCTCAGTTTACTTTCCAAAGGTAAACTTCTTCCAAATCACATGTCAGCATTAATATAGTCTTCGGAAACAAGGTCTTCCAACAGAGTATGATACTTATGTTTGCTACTAATTGTGTTCCTTTATTAGCAGACGTGTTTTCATATTTCTTTTAAGCAGAAGTATTAAAATCGACATTTAGATAATTTTACGACATATAATCAATTACTGATAGTACGTTCATTCATATGTCGATTCGATGTACCCCAGTGAATTTAAATTAAATACTTCACTGAGTTTGCCAAATCTTTTTTATATCTATATGTTTTACTTACTATAGAGGTTGAGACCAACTTACAGTAATTTTAAGGCAAACAAATTTATAAAAACTTTTTTTCCATCGTAAACATTCTAGATAGATTCTATATTCTAGATAAAGACCTATTGAAAAAATAACCTATCGCTGAAGGTCACCTGTTTTATGTGTTACCTTAATAAAATAAATAAACAAATCCTTTACCCCGAATGTATAATTTTTTATTTTTAAAATAAATAATTGTGTTGAAGAAGAGAGAACACATAAAATGTGCAAATTTATCAGGTCAATATTTTTCATATTTCCAGATTTTATTCGTTTTTAAATATTTTTGTCTATTCAATCTTTTCTTACTTCATTTCTGTTTCTTCCGTGTTTGGACGGACATTAGAAATGATAGTTACATAAAGTCATAAGTACTTTTTTTTTTTAATTTTCCAACTAATTTTCTTTATGAGAAGGATATGGAGATAACGAACAGTATTCAATCTGAAAGTCCATAAAACAATACAAAATAAGAGCAGAGCAAACGCGGCCCCCCGAAACATCAGAGGTGGGATCAGGTGCATGGAGGAGTGAGCATCCCCTGCCGACAGGTCACACCCGCCGTGTGCTAATTGTCATGATCAGAAAATACCGGGAAAAAAATCCGTCGTCAATTCAGTGTATAAATAATGGACTAACAACTGGTATGAAAAAACGTCAGTCAGCATTTGACTCAATGATATTGCTGACAAGGTCATTGTATCGACCATAGAACTTACGAAATGATGACTTTCAACGAGACTGCTGATATTCTTGTTTCATCAACTTGCTTGTCAATAATTTACCTCGTTTTAGAAATTGTTCGTACGTAGAGCATGCTCTTGCTTATCGAATCAACTGAGATATATATTCTCCGTATGCAGGTAAAGAATGTATATTGCTGCATAAGTAAGGGAAGTTGAATATAGAAAAATTAAAGTCATCATGTTTATCATATAGCTTGGTTGTTAGATTACCATTAATGTCTTTTTCAAGTAAAATATCCAAGTATGAAGCAGAAGTGTCGGACTCTGTGGTATCTTTTATCTCAAGCTCACCATGATATATCGAATCGACGTAGGAATGGATATTACCATTATTAACACTTTACAACTTGCAAAATAGTTATGCAAAATAAACTGAATCCTCACGTCATAGAAATATAACGTTACCATTTTCCCGCAAGCACTTTCAAGCAGGGTACAAGTTTTTCTAAAGTTTAGCTTAAATAATATAATCACGTAATATTTTAATTAGAAAATATTTTTTTCTTATCTAAAGAGATTAAGCAAGTATGAAATAGTTGGAATTTGGCAATAAATATATAATAAATAGAATATTTATTAAACTTTTTAAAGTGCGTGAAAATGCGTGATTGCGGGGAAACGGTAAATGCGTGATTTTGCGTCAGAAATAGGAAATGGTATATGCGTTAAAATGCGTGACTGCGGGGAAGAGGGTTAATTGACAATACGTCGTCTATATATCTAAATGTCGAGTTGAAGACCACAGCAAGTGTTTTCATCTTTTCTCGCATAAGATTTTGCATAAATTCTGCTTCATATGAAAATAAAAATAAGTGCTAATAATGGAGCGCAATATCTTTCCTTTACACGTTTGTGTTTCTTGGTTTTTCCATTAACACCCTTCCCCGCAGTCACGCATTTTAACGCATATACCATTTCCTATTTCTAACGCAAAATCACGCATTTACCGTTTCCCCGAACCACGCATTTTCAACTTTAAAAAGTTCATATAATCTTCAGATAAATTCCAGTTTTTTTTGAATCTCATTTTTATTTTCTATGTGAAATATTATTTCAGAATATTATTTACGCTAAACTTTAGAGAAAGTTGTACCTCGCTATACAGTGCTTGCGGGGAAATGGTAAATTAATATTTCTATGACGCGAGGATTCAATGTATGTTGCATAGTAATTCTGTTAGTTGCAAAGAGTTAATCGATGAATGTCAGAAAGTAATAAAATGTCAAGATATCAGTTTTTTTGAATTTTTTATCATGTGTTGAATTTCTTTATCTATCTATTTGTTTTCTGTGTTTGCTTTCACTCATTTTGTCTTTCGAATGTCAGATATAAATAATTTATTGCATTTTTTTAAAAATGATGCTCATATTTTGTGTTATTCAGATTAAACATGTTTATACTAATCAGCTTTTCACCTTTACAAAATGTTTCTGTTTATAACATGTTTTATCACTATATATATCATATCTAAGCATATGGACATTCAAATCTACATCACAGTACTTATATCTACATATACGTATATTAACTTCGAATTCAAAGATATTACAACAAACGTCAGAGTAAATAAAAGGTTTTATAAAGGAACAATAATATTTTTATTTTATGATTTTACTCGTCTGATTATTACCTTTGCTGAAACAAAATAAAGTTTGTTTTTTTTTTTGTTAATCTTCATATAAAAGACTTGAAAAAAAATTAGATTTAAACGTTATCTTATTTTCGTTTCTCCATAAACACTCACAAAGTTAAGGATGAAAAGTGTTCATTTCCTCTCCTCTGAGATAATCTCTTTCTGAGAGAAAAAAATAGGAACTACTTGAATTCGTACAAGTAACAAGATTAAAAAAAAAGGATAATAACACATGGGGTCGAGTAGCAAAAAAACTTCCTGTTTCCTTTATAAGAATGCATTGAACATCTAAATAAAAAAAAATAACGCATTGTGCTGCTTTAAAAGGTCATTTCTTTACTTCTCCATTACTCTCTCTCTCTCTCGCTTAATTATTTTAACTTGTTTGTTGAATAACTCGTAATTTTTCATAACCTAATTTTAAACTTTTTAAACTCATTTTATGGTCATAGAACCTGCTCTGCCTTGGTTTATTTACTCTTCCCGATAAGGTCAGATACTATCAATATTGAAACAAGTTATTTTCAAACTTACAATTCCAATTTAGAATCCTTCTGTAGTTAAGAAATAAACTGCGTAAAATTTGTTGTTTTTTTTCACTCAAATTTCATACAAACATAAATTTACAAATTAGCAAATTAAAAAGGGGTTAAATTCTATAATGATGAAAACGGATCATTAAAATTTTTATACCCCCACAATCATAATCAGCTAATTATCGTATCTGATTTTCAGAAACATAAATTAAATGTAGGGAGATAACGAACAATATTCAAGCACAAAAATGTATTTAAACAATATATGAACGGTTTATTTGTACGTCCTTCATAAAAAAGTTAAAGGAAAGAACGTAGTTTTTCCTTAAGTAAGTTTTTCTGTTTCTTCCCACGTTTTCTAGTCGTCTTGATAAAAAAAATCCTCCACTGTTCCGCTTGTGTTTTAATTTCTGGCTATTACAGGAGATAGCACTTGTAAAATATAACATTTGCAGATAATGAAATTATTCAAAACATTAATTCAAGCATAAGGAGTGTGTTAGGTGATTTCACTGGATAGTATACGAGTCATTTTTAATCTTTTTTGACTCTTTTCTCAGCTTTTTTTTTATTATTGAATTAATATTACGAGGGGTAATCAATTTTTATCTCATTTTGGATGTTCTATAAAAATTAATCGTAATTTTTTCATGGAATGTCTAAATAAATAAGGCATTCAAAATGACGTCAAAAGTGAGAGATGTTTCCTTTTTCCATCATATTAAAAAGTTTTGCCCTGCAAAAACTGGTTTAGACGTAGGAAATGTATACTTGTTTTCAAATGCCGAACGAAATTCGGAGAGAAAAGGGATGCCCAATTAATGTCAATTTGTAATCAAGGTGTGAAAAGTCAATCAGGGTAAAAATGACGTTAATCAATATAAACATATAAGGCCTTGAAAATGACGTAAAAAGGGGAGCAGTTTCCTTTTCTATCATTATATAAAGTTTTACCCCTGACCAAAATGGTAGAGACCTAGAAAATATTTAAATTGGCTACGTAGAGCATCCAGAGTACTTGTTTTCTAATGCCAAAAGAAATTTAGAGAGAAAAGGGATGCACTGTTAATGTCCATTTGTAGTCAAGGTGTGAAAAGTCAATCACTTCAAAATTACATTCATTTGTAAATGTGTTGTAAATATTTAACTCCTAAAAGCAAAAAAGCTGGCAAAATCAAGCAAGGTTCCTTCTAGCCTAGTTCCTTCCCAATGTATAAATCCATTTGTAATATTATATGCATTGAAAGCCGCTGTTCATGACATTGTCAAGTCATACAAAAGAAGGGTTTTAAGATTTTTATTCACTCCAGGGAACATCATCAAAATAAGTGTAGGAGGTAGAAGAAGCAGATATTGAAAAAAAAATGACGTTGGTGGACGTCATGGAACTAAACGGCGACGGCACCAGGTGATCATTTACTTTTTTTGTAATAATTTGGCAAAAAAGGAACGTATCAAGCTAAAATTATCATTTTTAAAATTTTTTTGTTGTTGTTTTATTTTCCTTATACAATATGAAAGCACAAACTACATAGTACTAATTATACAGCCTCAGCTCACAAACTTTTTGATAGAAAATTACTAAAAACCACTTCTATTGCTTTCACATATCGTTAGAATATATAAAATACTTGTTGAGATAAAAATGCAATTTAAAGTTTCTTGTTTTATAGAGAGCCGGAAACGAATAATCTTCTGCACTAACGTTGAAGTGAAAATTCATAGTATTTGTAGAATCAGTTATCCCATCATAATTTATACAAAAAAGTGTACCAGCTGCTGTACACATGGGGTGAGGACATGCGTGATATCAACTTTTGAATTATATTTTCATTTCAACATTCTGACTTCTACTCCATTTACTCAATAGTTAAGGTGACTAAATATTGTTTAATTCGATATAATGTTTTGAAAAATGGAAAAGCTGAACTAAACGTTTCTTAAAAATGCATTTACCTATTATTATGGTGCACATTTAGTCAGTAATAAATAATAACATTTTATAGTGAGATATGTGTTTCATTTCCTTTTAGTGTACCATTGAATGAGTGCGACTTAAGTACATCATCCTAGGCAAAACTCTTTACAAACTGTGGTCACGTGCTTGAGTCAAATATAATGAAATATAACGTGCTAAATTGGTAAATGCAGTTAGTGATCTTCAAGCTTTTTCCAGGGTAAGAGCAAACTAACAAGAGCCATTTTTATGAAATTTTTCATTTTTTTTTTCAAACGTTTTGTTTTAAAAAGAAAATATTTTTGGCATTAAATTATTAAGCATCTTCCCTAAGTGGAAATGCATGCTAGTAATAGCTTGTGTACCTAGCAGCGATTCAATATATTTGTTACAAAATATATTTTACTCTGCTCTTGATAAATAAAGAAAGTGGGGGTTAAAGGTAAAAGTGTAGATATAAGGTCACTTATATCTATTATTTGTCTTTTCAAAACTGAATTGATTTTTCCTAATTTAAATAAAATCTTAATGTGAACGATGTGAATCCCAGACTAAAGTTTATAAACTAATGCTTTGAATTCTCAGTTCCGCAGGTTTGAAATTTACTTTTATGTGACGAAGTTTTAGAAAGAAGCACCATGGCAACAGAAATAAAGATTGTAATTTGGACTATTCTATTAGCAATGCAATGCATTAATTCCTGCAAAAGCCAAACACTTTATTCCGACAAGACCACGTGTTCTGAAGCAGATGAAATAAAGTCTTTAAAAGATCAAACAGCATTTTTGAAGCAGCTCGTCAGCAATCAGGCTATTGAAATGGAGATGCTTAAGAAAGAATTAAACTCAGTCAAGGAAGCAATGTCCACATGTAAGAACCTTTTTCAGATTTTTTTCAGGGTTTTTGCATTTTTATTAAATAATATATGATAAAAATATCAAATTTGCTTACCACGTGGTGGGGGTAATAATGTTAACTAACTATTATCCACATCATCTTTTTTATTTGCAATTTGTCAGTATGAATTTGATCCGGGGAATTATTTTCCGATTTATCAAACATTCTGATTGAATAATAAGCAAAATTATTGGTTTGCACCGATTAATGTTTGATAGTTAAATTAGGTCCTGACACTTGCAAATGCAAAGAAAAGTTTGCTTTGCAGTTATTGTATCAGTTTTCCGAATAATAATAATTGAATAATTCTTAGATCCCTAATTGGTTGATATCAAACTTTATATTTAAAAAAATATGATTTGTTTTGTTCACTTGCTTGCGGCATCCACGTGAAGAAAAGGATTTTCAATGTTAAATTAAAAATACATTAGGAAATTCCCAAATATGAAATGGTTTTTGCGAGTACTTTATATTTCTATGTACATCTATTTTCCTCTCCAGTGAAGAAATCATAATAGAGATTGAGTTTGTAAGGCCTTTATTCCACCTTTTTTATCTGTATGAACGTAACATTTTACTTTTACTGTGGTATAAAAATGTTTATTAAAAGGATGGCCCACCTGATATTGGATATTAACACCCCCCCCCCAAAAAAACCCCGCTATATATAGGTGTTAAGAGAATGTCTTCATTTTATTATCTTATTGGAGGGGACTGGAGGATACGTTATATCTATTTTTAGGCACAATGTACGTTCTCGTTTCTTTTTCATTCATCCCCCTACCCTGTACCCCTGGAAAATCGATGCAACATTTCTGAATATAGATGTTTGTTCTACAATGCAAGTAACAATTTGAAAAATAAATTCCAAATTTATACAACTGGTAATATTTATTAGAATTTAGTTTTCTGAATTTGTTTGGTCATGTCTTCAAATATATACCCCGGTAGTAGGACGGCATTGAAAAGTAACGCTTATCATATATTATCAAAAAAATATTGCGGCTTTTTTTTCGGTCAATACGATGATCTCGAAATTTTCAAGTTCTCAATTTATCTCACCATTCAGGTTCAGTAATTGGTACACTCCACATTTGATTAAATCAACGTATTGACGTTTAAAACAGCAATAAAAACTTGTACAGTAATTGAATGTCGCACTCTACGTATATTTAATTCTTATATACAAGTATCTTAAATATTTTGGTCTTGACTAGTTGCAAGCATTTTGCATGTCTTTTCTTATAAATCATGTTTATATTTGAGAAAAAAAATCATCTATTCTCCTCAGTTTTGTTATATTTACATTTATATTAAAATATATTTGAAAATATATAGTGATGCCTGACCACGTTGCCTTCCATGTGGTAGCTTCTAGTAATTCCAGTCCAGGTGTGGTCATTTTCGATCACGTGATCTCAAATATTGGAAGCGGGTACGACATTACCTCTGGGATTTTTACTGTACCAACAACAGGCTTCTATATATTTTCTTGGAGCATAGAGACTTACGGACAGTTGACTGAGGCTGCTCTTTTAGTAAACGGATTAGAAATGGGAATATCGAAGTCTGATGAAGCCCCATCCTACTACGACACAACTATTTCCTTCGCTGTCCTTAGCCTTACCAGAAAGGACAAAGTCTGGGTCAGAGTCAAAAGCGGTCGAGCTGAAGCGATGCATACCATGTTTTCTGGCTGGATGATCAATAAAAGCGGTAAATTATTCTAACCTCTTTGAAAAATAATGGTTGAGGTGGAAAAGTCCTACAACTTTATCTTTTAAAATTTAATTGTTAGTAATGAAATGCAATATTAGTGCGGTTTGTGTATCTAACAACAGTTATTGTATTGTTCAATGTAATGGTAAAGATGCGTATGTCCTTGAAAGGTTCAAGTTATTTGTCAGAATGTTTGATGGATCAAATATTTAGAAAAGCATTGGACCGACATGTCTTTGATTCAAACTGAATAATACTCAGTGAACAAAGTCCTGAGCAATGTAAAACCTCTTGGACAATGAGTGATTTTAATTAAATATCTTCGTATTATCAAATAGATTCTTTTTAATTTATTCAAATATAGTTTAAACAATATTTATTTAAAGATATACATCTTCTACATATAGTATTAAATCCGGCAAATAGTTTTATCAATAGAATTTATAGCCTCATAATACTAAATGTTAATAATCATATTAATAATTAATGATGGTATTAAACTTTCTTATCTATAATTGATAAAATACCGGTGTTTCCTGTGTATATATATAGTAACAAAAATAAAATGATAAAGCATGAAGATGGAGATGGATATGCAGAGTAATATTTGTTTTAAACTTTTCAGTTTAAAGTACATGTTACATGCTTAATTACTATATCAATCCAAGCATGATTTCATGATACAATGCTAAATGCAATGTGCTTGCATTCTCATTCCATGACTTTTGTTTACGTAATGAAAATATTTTATTATTTTCTTTGAAAAATGATTATTTAAGAATTTAAAAGTCTTTTTTTTTAAATGATCGAAGCCTCATTTTAATCTTTTTCTTGTTATTTTCAGATAGTACAGCATTTTATGCTTTCCTTTCGCGTGATGTGAGCGGTTCTCGAATTATCTTTAACAACGAAACGCTAGACACGCATGATGCTTACTCCACGTATACCGGGACGTTTGTGGCACCTCGTTCTGGTCTGTACGTTTTTATGATGTCAGGACTTATCTATGGAAGTTACGAATTCAGTTGCAAGTTTGTATTCAGTAACGGTAATTCTCAGCCAGAAGTTTGGGTAGACTCGACCAACGGTAGGTACGATAGCAGTAGTTACATGACATTTGCCTGGATGAACTCTGGCGACTACGTGTATATCGGCGCCCAGAGGATGAATGCCACGTCCATGTTTGCAGGATGGCTGCTGATGGATGATACAAACGGTATCTTTGATATTTTCTTTCATCATTGTATACTAAATAAGAAACAGGTATTTTGAAATGAATAAATATAAAAAAAATACAGGTGGAATTCAAATTCATGAAAATGACACTGGAAATATAAAATAAAAAATGTAATTATATGATCCGTCATTTCCTTTTCCGGCGTGATAAGTTACAAATAATTTTTTGGGACTTTAAAAATTTCTAAAACTTTTATCTCGTTTGAAACATCATTTTAAATCTTGTCTAACTTTGGGAGGTATATGAATCTGTTGCTTACTTCCTCCTTCCGATACACTGGAATACTTTCATATAGGGGTTAAGATTTTGATATTACCGAGTTGTATTTTATCTGATATTCCTATTTCCCCCCATAGTATTTGAGATTGGACTTATCGACACAATAAGGAAAATATATTTTGTTTATTTTTATTTATAAGATTTTTGCAAGCCTTTATTTGTACCTTTTTGTGAAAAGCTGGGTTTGTCAAAACAGTCGATATTATTAAGAAAAGAAATGGATCAATTATGCTTTTAGATTACGGAATATTCAAAATTCTTTTCGGTTAGTTACCGATTGTTATTCTCCTTCAGTTTCCTAAATATATTTCAACTTTCAAAAGACAGATTAAACATACAAGAAAAATAGTTGGCTAAATGTACATTGTCTTTCAGTTTTTTTCGCATATACATATTTACTTCAAAGCTTATTTGAATATTTTTTGAAGATCCGGAATTCACATATGCTCACAGGAGTCCTGTTAATATAAAGTGGTGATTGAATAAAATGAATATATATTTTCTATCAATTACAATTATGGAATTTACACCTACTAACAAGAATAATTTAATAAGATGTAGATTCTCTGCATCAATAGTTATTATTATGTAATCCATGAATTTTGCATCACATTGCAGTTTTTTTTATTTGCAACTATTTTTTACTTTATTTTAAGGGTTTCTGTTACAGCTACTGAAAAGTATAAATGCAGCTCGTAGGGAATACGCATCCTTCATTATACGTTATTATTACTAAATTCTATAAAAATAAACACAAAGCAATAAATACTACAAAGATAAATGTTAATAACTTTTATTATTATCATTATCATCATCGTTGTTAACGTTGTAGGTAACATTTCCAAGTCGTATTTTCAGATAACTAAAGGAAAAAGATGAATTAAAAATCTTCAAACACAATAATATGAAGTAAACAATTATATTTTGTTCTTAAACCCTCATAATTTTTTTCTTTATTTTCTTTGCAGTGTCAAAATCAAATTTTCCAGCTTTTCTCGCTCATATCAGTGGTGACAGGTTCAGTAATCCAGTCGTTTATGATACAGCTCACGGTGGTTATCACCATGGGTACTCAACAAGCACCGGAGTATTCACTGCTGATCGTGATGGGCTTTATTTGTTTCTGTATAATACTGAAGGTTTTAACGAGGTTGTACGTACTGCGCTGAGAGTAAACGGACTGGAAATTTTCGAAACGAGGTCGGACGGACGTCGTACTGAATATGACCATACCTGTGCTGTCACTGTTCTTAAGTTATCTTTAAACGATCGTGTCTCTATAGGAGTAAAATCTGGGACAGTTGATGGTGGGCAGTCGCTGTTTTTTGGCATACTTCTTTTTGAAAACTGATTTTTGGGTATTGATTTTATTTGATATTGATTTTCTATGATTTAAGATGGAAACATAATTTCATGAAGCTTATATAAGTCATTCCATATCTTTAATTATATGCATATATTATTATTTCAATCATTTGAGAGGAATCTCCCTGATTTGGTTTTTTCTTGTGACATCCCTGTCCTGAAAAATAATAGTCATATGAATAATGAATTTGAACAACTGAAATAAGAGGCCAATGGTCCACAACATTCACATTATGACTCTGTACAATTTCTGAGAAAGTTTTCATATTAAAATGACTATATACTCTCACCATTCTTTAATCTTTACGACGGCAACACCGCTGATGACCTCACATAGAAAAGATTTCCGTCAGAAAAATAGTTCTAACTAGCATCAGAAAAAAGTTTTAATGAGCCATTGGATTAGGTGAGCTAATAGTCATTTATATATTTGGAGTGTTTCAAGGTCATTTGATACTAAACTAAAGATAGAGAAAGTATAATGTATTCACAAAATATAATGACGTGTCCCTCCACAAATACTCACTGAATAAAAAATACAAGCCCTTTGCTTCATTCACATAATACCAGGTCTTAGGATCACGATACATCTTAAGCTTAAGTCAAAATATTCCTGTTGTACTAGAATGTTGATTAAGTCAAGAAGACAACAATCAAAATATTTTTTTTTATTACTTCTCTACAAAAGTGTTGATATCTGCCAAATTAGAGATTCATTCAATGATTAATAAATATTTTACAGGTGATTAACAATTGTCTGTTTAATTATCTCAGGACCTGGACTTACACAACATTTAGAATTAAACAGTGTTTATTGTATGGTATGTATTGGCCATAGTGGTTAGAAACAGTGTAAACACAAACATATAACTTGTTTTCAGTCGACAATCAACAAAGGCGTATCATGTACAACATTTTATTTGTTTGGATTGATCGCAGTCATGCTGTCGACACATCAACATCATTCAATTCTTCACATTAAATTCTTCACAAAACATACCTAATCATCCTTTAGTCGTCTTTTGGTTACAACAGTTAAATAATAATGGATGTTGCTGCAATACGAGTGATGCTCGAGATGTATATAAACAGGGGCAGATTTCCTCATTGCACCACATGCTGATAAATGCAAGGAATTATCAATAATGTAAACTACTAAATTTTGACTTTTTACAAGACATGAAATCCCAGTTGACACAAAAAAGTTTAGGTTCTTCAGGAGGATTTAAGCTTATAATTGATGTCTATTTAGGTTGAATTGTCTGCAAACATATGCACTGAAAAAAAGAGTGGCAATATTGGGTAAATGACAACTTTGTCTACCAATAAAGTCAGGGGGCAAACATTGCGTGCTTGTACCTTGGCAGTTTCTGCATGCCACCTTTCTTGCTCATTGTTATGTTATTTTTGGGGATACTTTATTATTAATTTGTATATTCTAAATGTAATTTGAGATATTGGGAAGATCAACTAATGTTTTGTATTTACATATAAATTTTACAGTGATGTATTGTAGAGTATTGATCTCTGCTTTATCTGATTTATCCTTTAGTTCTCTGAGGTCATTTATACATGTATAATATATCCCAAATTCATCCTTCAAACCATGTTTTTTTTTTTTTAATTTTCATGGATGTTATATAACCTTTATATTGTTATTTGTATGCACAAAAAAATAGCTTCATTGAACTTGTAAAATTACTCTGTAGAACGTTAAGTCAGACATGACATTTTTGTAAATAATAGCATTTATGTACTGTTTGTATATAATGATATTTGAGTTTGTACATGTATCTAAAGCATGTTAATCCGGATTTATTCGTGTTTGGTTTTAAGTCATTATAAGATTAATAGATTAATAGATTGTAGATTCTAAGTCACTTTTTGTTTAAATTCGATCGCAGTTAAAGGGTTTTTAAAGTGTTGACCATCTACCACCCCGGTCATGATTCCACATCTGTCATATATTATATTTCAATTGTAATATTGTTTAAGCTCACCTGAGCTAAAAGATCTGATCACCCATTGTCCGCCGTCCGTCCGTCTGTAATTTTTTTTCGCTTTCAACTTTTTTCTCAAGAACCACTGGGCCAATTTTAACCAAACTTGGTACAAAGCATCCATAAGTAAATTTTAAATCGTTGAAATGAAGGGTCAAGTCCTCTTCCAATTAAAAATACTCATAAAAGACAAAAATAGGTTGGGATCACTTAAAATTTTTCTCAGGAACAATTGAGCTAGAAAAGATGAAATTTATGTAGCTGCAGATCTGTAGCGTTATGGTTTTATATATTTGTCTTTGACCATAACGCTACAGATCCTGTAATGCAAAAAAGGTGCAATTTACGGCGCAATATTTTTTGCGCGCTTTTGGGGAGAATTCTCCACTTTCAAGCATTGGTCAATCAATTACCTTTCACTCCGTAGTTCTAGACACCTTCTGTAGCCAATATGTATATTTTATACACCTCCCAACCCTTTATACCCGTCTCTACAAGTGATAAAATCGCTTCATCAAAATTATGTGTTAGATTGCTGAAAATTCACTTCTAGCGACTCTATTTCCTGTAGAGACAGCTACAAATAGTTGAAAGGTGGATAAAATATACATATTGGCTACAGAATGGATCTAGCATTAGGGAGTGAAAGATAGTTGATTGACCAATGCTTGAAAGTGGAGAAATTCTCCCAAAAGCGCGCAAAAAATATTGCTCCGTAAATTGCACCTTTTTTGCATTATAGGATCTGTAGCGTTATGGTCAAAGACAAATATATAAAACCATAACGCTACAGATCTGCAGCTAAAATTTATGTGGAAGTACTAAATTGTTCAAATCATGACCCCCGGGGTAGGGCGAGCCTCAATAGGGTTACAATAGATACATGTAATATATAGAGGATATCTATATTGTGTGTGATTTAATATTGGCTTTATCCAACGAGTTGAAATAGTGTATATATTTGCGAGGCTTGCCGAGCGAATATACACCATTTCAACGAGTTGGATAAAGCCAATATCAAATCACACAGTTATAGATGTTCTATTTATCTCATACGACTTTCGTTTTAACAAAACTTTGACACTTCTCCTGCCAAACTACATGAATGATTGCTAATTCAAATTGATGACGTATAACTTGATGACGTAGCACCGTTGGTGTTATGACATACCTCTAAAGAAAGTAGATCGTGTTCAAAATTTAGAATTTTTGCTTTCTGTATCTTTGAAAACATTATGTGACAATTGCTGGAGCTTTACATCAAACGGACTTGTGACTGAAAGTTGTAAGGACCATTGGATCATGAAAATAAACTCTTTGGACGATGACAGTACAAAACGTGATAGGCAAGGCTAGGGGCCTACTTGTAGATTAATTGTTGATCCATGGTAAGTTACACCTACATTACTAGGTAGGCATACGTAGCACAATATATAACAGCCTTATTGAAGATGTTAAAGGAATCTTATAACACAACAACTTAACTGTTAGGCTTTGCTTTCTCCGAAAACGATTTAAAAAGGAGGGGGGGGGGGTGTAACATAACGTTATAGATCTATCTTCAAGAAGCCAACAAAGTTTCCTTGATAAAATAATTAAGACACTTCTTTGACATATACGTCTTCTTCTGGCTTTTAAAGATATTATCCCTCTTTATCATTTATTTTAGAACGGCAATAATAGGGATCACAAATAAAAGTTTCAAATAAAAATTTGAAGCTATGGATCGTGTCAAAACCGGAAGTGCTATTGATAAAGCATCTACCCGTTGACAAAGCATTAGTTTATCCAACGGGCTGTATCACAAACACGTATGAGGTAAAAGAGGAAAATCAAGTAAAGCCAAGGGTTTTCAGACTAGCGATGTGGCCTTTGGGCCTCTTGATGATCAGTCAGTTTTTTGTCTGCCATTTGCAGCTTATGACTGCCACCTTTTTTGATCATTGATATTTTTGGATCCTTGATAATTAATTTGGATATTTTGAATGTAATTTGATACATTTGGAAGCTCAACTAATGATTTGTATTTACACATAACCCTTTCATTGATATATTGTGTAAGAGTGATATCCCCTTTATCTGAATTATATTTTAATATACTGTCGTCCTTTATACATGTATAATTAATCATCCATGAAATCGGGTGTTGGTGTTCGTTTCATACTGATATGTAACTATAAATTGTTATAGGATTGCGCAAAAAAATAGCTTCATTGAACTTTTACATTTAAAATTACACTAACGAATATTAAGTCAGATATGAGATCTTTTTTTTAAAAAAATACTTTTGCTGTTTTCAAATATAAGCCAGGCTTCTTTTCGAGAATTCCAGACGTCCAAATTGACAGTGAATACTGCAAATTATATTGTTTAGTCAAATATAACGCAAACAACGTTTAAAAATTTGCAGCATTATAAAGGTTCAAAAAAGGGGGCCAAATTTTTACTTTGATATCACACAAAATTGATTATGATACCTGAAAATTAAATTGTTTGCAATTTTAAACTGTATTAGGATATAAACATCTTCTCGACATGAGTCATTGTGGTAAACATGGCGTTTTTTATGTGCTGTAAAAGTCAGATCAAGTAAATTTTTACAGTATAAAAAATGCATCTTTTATTTAACAGAATAGTATTTTCATATTTTATATAGGCTATCTATACCAATGTTAAATTTCAACTTAATGCGATTATTCAGCAATTAGCGAGATAATGTATGTACGAGTGTTCATCCAAAAGTAATGTCACAACCTCGATAAAATTGCTACTAGGTGACTTAAATTAAAGAAATAATACATAATCAAAGCTATATCTATTACAAATCAGGCATGAAAAAATTCAAATCAAAGTGATGTATGCTGTTCAAAATATCGAATTATGTACAAATTGCACTTATGGTAGTCGCTGCACCTAAATAACGTCAAATGATGGATACACGACGTCGAACACTTCAACTCTACCCCTTCGTTTCATTTAAAAAAAATAGAGATTCATGAAAACATTTACATATATTTCTCTTTTTTATAAGAATTATTGGCACCCATTGTATATTCACTCTATATATAAATTAGTCTTCTGTCAAAATTTTTAACAGTACCATAAGACACTTAAAGTGTTTCATATCACTGTAACTGTCTAACCGTCTCTCTTTTTGGACAACGGCAAACACCATTGATCGTTTCCGCCCAACCTCCCCTTTTCGGCCTTTCTGTCCTTTGCTGATCATTCATTGACCCATGACCCACAAAAATGTCTGTAAACATCTATAAAGAAGACTTTTATTTACATTTTCTTCTCTGTATGTCTGATTAATCATCGTTATTGTTTCTAGTCACGTTTTGTCCGCCGTCACGTTATGTCCGCCGTCACGAAATGTCCGCCTCTTTTTCAGAAAAATCGTCACGTTATGTCCGCCGTCACGAAATGTCCGCCTCTTTTTCAGAAAAATCGTCACACTATGTCCGCCGTCACGAAATGTCCGCCTCTTTTTCAAAAAAAATCGTCACACTATGTCCGCCGCTACAAAATGTCCGCCTTTCTTCCAAACAAATCGTAATATTATGTCCCCCGCTACAAAATACCTTCTAAAACAAAACGCAATATTGTCCGCCGACAAGAAAAGTCGCCTTTCTTCCGAAATAAAAAATCGTCAGATTATGTCCGCCGCAAAGAAAAGTCCGTCTTTTCTCGGTAAACTCGTCACTGATCACACAGTGTCCGCCGTTAAATGTCCTTCAATATTTCGGATTGTAAATATCGTCTCGTAATGTCCGCCTTCACGAAATTAAAGTACGCCCTTTCTTTTACAAAACTGAGACTTTTTAACTATATATATAAATATATAAATGTGTACATATAACTTTTTAATAAACTTTAAATCAAATTTATTTTAATCTTTTTAAATTTGGCAAAATTTTGATTTTTTTTTTTTTTTGGTCTTAAAGTTCTTTTGTAAAACTGGCCCAAGGCCTTTACCTTCTTGAACAAACCAATACAGAATATGTCCCTTTCTAACTTTTAAAAATGATCACGTGTTTACTTCATCCAATGGGGAACGCGTTGCGGGGTCTCACCTGGCCGCAGGTAGGTATCTGTTTTTACTTTGACCCCTGCTGCGCCACGTGACAGGTTGATAAGAAAAATGAAGACTATCGGGTAAGTATAATTATGTTGTAAAATAATTAAAACAGACTGATGATGTATTTATATTAATTTTCTATTACCATCCTCTCATTGTTTATAAGATAAAGTCCTTCCAGATATATTTTCAAGCAGAATGTTCTCAAATCCAGCAATGTTATCTATTTATCATTCTTCATGTTTATTTTAACTAATTATCATTTCTTGAAGTACTTTTTTTTTCAATTTTAACCAATGTGTATTGATTTGTTAGGGATAATGTACATATACTACATAATATTATCATTTAAATATAAAAATAAAATGCAAATTGGTTAAAATTGAATTTTTTTTCGAAGCGAAATA